AATTTAAGAATTAATTAGAATGACGAGTTGTTTGGCAAATAGGTGAATATACTGGTCAAAACAGTATTTAATGCTAATTTGTTCTGAAGCAGGGAGAGAGGGGGAAAATTGGAGGGAGGACATGGAGAACATAATTAATGAATTAATGAATTTAGGTTTAATTGAATTAAATATGTAATTAATCCGGGCACTGAAGAATCTTATCTAAAGAATGCTACACTGCTTAATTAGAAATAGAACTGAGAAGCATGCCTTAGCTTTCAGGGGTTTATATTTCCTGGAGGGGGGGTTCAAATATTGGTTTTCAGGGGTTTATATTTCATGGAGGGGGGGGGGGGTTCAAATATTGGTTTTCAGGGGTTTATATTTCATGGAGGGGGGGGGGGTCGAAATATTGGCTTTCGGGGGTTTGTATTTCATGGAGGGGTCCAAACATTAGTTTTCAGGGGTTTATGGTTAATCAAGGTGTCCAAACGTTAGTTTTCAGGGGTTTATGGTTAATCAAGGTGTCCAAACGTTAGTTTTCAGGGGTTTATGTTTAATCAAGGTGTCCAAACGTTATTTTTCAGGGTTCAAACATTTGTTTTCAAGGGTTTTTATTTAATCAAGGTGTCCAAACATTTGTTTTTAACGGTTCAAACATATTGGTTTTAAAAAAAGCTAAGAAATTAGAACAAAAAATTGCTAAAAATCTGACATTTGTCGAAAATTGAAGACATTGATGGTTAAAGTTCCAGTGACCCAAGAGTAACGAAAGATGCAGGGAGTAACATGTAGAGAGTAACGTGAAGGAAATAAAATGTAGAACATTTAGGGTGTAACATGTAGAGAGTAACATGAAGGGAGTAACATGTAGAGAGTAACATATAGGGAGTAACATGTAGGGAATAACATGTAGAACATGTGGGGAGTAACATGTGTGGGGAGTAATATGTAGGGAGTAACATGTTGTGAGTAACATGTTGGGAATAACATGTAAGGAGTAACATCTAGGGAGTAACACGTATGGAGTAAAATGCTAGCAAAAAATATCTTTTATCCCCTGTCAACTTGGAAGGGGAGGGAGGGGGTGAATCTGGTTTAATTAATTGTCTGATATCCGTATAATCTAATCAATCTAGCGACCAACATAAGATCAGAATTAAATGCTACATAAATTAGAACGAGAACTTACAGAGCAAGGGTAATCTTAGGAATTTTTATAGTGCCAGGGTGTCCCAAAAATAATGGTTTTTACAGAATATTCCAGAATGCTTGGCAGTAAAGGAGTCCCCCCAAAACACGGTTTTTACATAAACTCTTCTAATGAAATGAAAGCAGGGTGTCCCAGCTATAAGGGTTGTTCAGAATATTAGAATACAGGGTGTCTAAAAATATGTATTTTCCATGAATCACAAAAAAAAAACATTTTAAATCAATTTTTTAAAACCTCGTTAATCAGAAAATGTTCATAGTTTTAGGAATTGTAGAACTGGAAATAGGTCCAATCATTCGCCTAGAGTTAAATGAAACTGTAAATACTTGCAAAAAGTTTAGTTAATCGTTTTGGTTCTTTTTTTTGCAGATATTTTCTCTCGCGGTCAAAATTTGGCATAAAGTAAAAAAAAGAAAAGGTTTTAAAAATTTTTTTTTTTCTATACATGTCAAATTTTGATCCTGAGAGAAAGTATGTGCAAACACGAACCGAAAACGAGCGTGTTAAAACGATCATTTTTTTGGTTCTTTTTTTGGGATAAAACTATTTCAAAATTGCAAACAGATTACAGTTTTGTTGGAAATTTTAATAAAAAAAACTGATAAAGTACACATACATACCAACAATTGTGTCCCATTTAAATGACAATTTTTATGTAAAATTTATACGCAACAAACACTCAAAACAACCTACCCTGGTTAGGCGGGTTCAAACTGATGCATAGTAAGTTGTGATTGCTTATTTGTAATATCTCATGCTTTTTAGTTGAATAAAAATATGAAAAAATGAACTCATTTAACATTTTATATCCCTAGATATGTTTATGTAAGAGATATACAAGAACTTGCTTTTAGTTTATTTTTGCAAGTGTACTCCGCAAAATTCTCATCGATTTTTGCGTAAAAAATTGCAACCTTTGTATCAATGTTAAGTGAGTTCACGTTGCGATTTTCTGTGCGCAGTCAAACCACATGGCGACATTTCAAAGCCTGCCACGACGTCCCAAAATTGAGGCTCAATTTGTCTAGTTGTGTGGTTGGTTGTGGCTGTGTTGATGTACATGAGCTGTAGTATATAGAGAGGTATAAGCGGGAAAAAGAAAATCCTTTTTAAAAAAAAATAATTTCTTTTATTCTTTTATTTGCGTTCCCCCTCTCCATATGGGCAGGCCTGTACAGTTCATGTCTATATTACACTCATGCTCGCTTTTAATGACTTCACTCTGTGGAACGTAGGCGTAACTTTCCCGCTAATATCTCAGAGCCTTCAGCCAATCAAAGACAAGCACTCGGCCCTCCGACCAATAGAAGCTCGGCGGCAGTAATTACGCGGTAAAATTGTGTGTGAGTGTCCGGGCTGCCAACCAGTTCGCTTACTAATGGGGCTCATTTAGCTTTAGTGTTAATATTAAGAGTGCGAGTCGGCAGGATTGGTCCCCGACCCGGTTCGACCGCCTGAATAGGCTGAGATTTCGACCCGACCCGACCGCCGCGGCGCGACTAGCTGCACCTACAACCAGTCTCTTTGCTCATTAACAAACATTAGTCTAGTTTTTGCCCTCAGATAGTTAGCATCTCTCTAACCATAGAGGTCATACAACCCCACAAACCGGTTTTCTAATCGGAAAAGTGAATCCTAGCCGCAGTGTGGACCGACCACCAGTTATGACCCTATCCAATATGTCGGTTTACCAAACAAAACAAAACAATAACCAGTCACCAGACATATTTACCTCAAAAGCAAAGCTCGGATTTTCAATAGATTCAATTGTCGGAGTCAAACGAGAAAGATCAAGATCTCCGACCTCTCCCTTGAGGTCACCAGTTAGAATAAAGAGGTCATGGTCCCCCCCGGCCTCCCCAACAGACTTTAGTTTAACCTCCCGTGAGTCGAGACCAAGATCAAGATCACCAATTCGACCTCGATCCGTTTCTCCTCCCCGACAAACTCTTTCTCCGTTGCTCCGCCCAATTCCAACTTCGATGGGGGGCGTACCCCAGTCCTACCTTGAACAGCTTGCATCTCTAAAAGCCCTCTATGAGGGTAAAAATCAAGGAATGCATTTACCCCCCACCCAACTTCTACCCCCAGCCTTTATGAACCAGGGGTTGCATGGTTTTCATAGACCCCCCACCCACCCCTTCCTCGGTCTCCCCCAACACCAACTACCCCCTCGGGAATATCCTCTACACCCCTGGTTTCTTAATAGACACAGATTTCCATTAGGTGAATTTATCTTATAAACTCTAACATTGTTTTATTGAATTAAAACATTGCTTTAATCAATATTAAACTCTAACATTTTTATTAAACTCTAACATTGTTTTATTAACTTCAAACATAGCTTTTTTGAATTCAAACATTGTTTTAGTTACTTCTAACATTGCTCTATTTTGTCTAATATTATTATATTAACTTCTAACATTATCTATAAACTTCTAACTTAATATAGCTTTATTGATTTCTAACATGGTTCTATAAATTTCTAAAAATATCTTGTTAACCTCTATTTGTAAATTATTAACTGCAATCTAACATTGTTTTCAGTAATTTATAACAAAATTTCATTAACTTCTAACTATTCTTTAATTAAAATCAAATGTGATAGTTTACTGTTTTATTGTATCCTAAAAATTGGCCTTTTATCGCAAAAAAATTCTTTGATAGAAAAAAGATTTCTGTTAAAGAAAACATAAAACTCTCAGTTAGCAAAAATGCAATTTTCCTTTTATGAGAATTAATGTTTTTGTAAAACTTATTTCCTTTGTCTAATTCTATTTCTGAACAAATAAATATAACAATCTTTTACAGGACTTCCATACAAAAATCAAAATCAATTTTATAATTGATTTTTAAGAAGAAAAAAGTAGTATAAACATAACACAAAGCCGCTAATGGTTTCTGGATTATGTTTGTAGTTCTTTAGTTTTTAAAATACTGAAATTACATAGTTTTCAACATGGTCTTAATTGGTGGGTTGAACTTGTTGGTAAACTCAAGCAAAATGAACAATAAAGATTCCGAATAGAGGACACTAGAGACCCCTACGCCGGGACACTAGAGACCTATTAGTGGTTTAATGAGAATTAAACTATACACTTCACTTCACTTGCAAATCTTTCTCACAGAGCACAATTTAGATTTTTAAATTTTAAAGTGTTTTCTGATTTTTGTATTCACATGTACTTCTCATGTACAGAGTACAGTGGGGGCCCATAATACTGTGGAAAAGGATGGATGACCCAAGTTATAATTTCAAATAGTCCAAAGAACATTTTATACAGCAATTGTACAGTGTACTCAGAGTCAGACCAATTTCACTTAATAAATCGGATTTCAAGTCACTAATGAAACCACATTTAATAAACAAAAGATTGCTTGGATGTCGTCTTTTTATTCCTGAGTTTATTGGTACAATTTCTGGGTTTAGCTTGCCCCAAGTTATTGTTGTATCGTGTATAGCCTATAAATCAATTTTGAAATTTAGTTAGTTGTAATAACTGCATAACACTGTGTTTTTAATGTTAGAAAAACCAGTTTGTTTTGACCCCCCCCCCCNGGCAGTATATTATTATAATTGAAAACCTATTTAGTGTGTTCCCGGGCAAGTTATTAGACCCTATTTATTTTTCAACATTTAGAGGGGGAACTTGGAAATATTTAAAAATTTAAATTTTCATGCATCCTGATTTTTTAGGGGTTTAACGATCTTTAAATAATATTAAAAAAGATTGAATTTTCGAAACTCGGTTTACGAAACATATCTCAGTGTCTAAAGTTTCGGTCCCTACAACATTGGTGTCGGTATAGGCAGAAAATAATTATTTTTACCACCTTATTTGGAATCCTAGTGTTCGTTTACACCAAACCAAGCAAAGGTTTAGAAAGACAGAGATGGGGTAAAATTATTTGGTTTGGTCTTTTTTCAGCATTTTTTAATTAATATTAAATATATTTTACCCTTTTCATAAAAATATGATATTAGAAGATTTAGGATTTATTGATCTATATGAACTTCAATTTTATGTGAATTCAATGCATTTTTGCAAAAATAAATCTAAAGAAAAATGTTTTTTTTTATTTAACATTTAACCATTCTAATTTTACACTTAAGTTTAGTTTGATTTTTGAATAACAAGCCATACGCGTTCAGGGCTTGTTTTCGTTGCATCAATGCCTGAACTAAATCTTAAGTTTTGGGATGAATAGCTAATTTTGAATGAATAGTTAAGTTAGGATGAATGGCTGATTACAGAGCAAGGAATGAATTAACATTTTGATTGAAGTTTTGATATTTACAATCAGCTTTTACAGAATTAGAACATAACACACAAAACAAGAAAAAAAGGGGGGAGGGCGGAATTTCAAAATATTTATGTCAACATGCTTCATCTCAAACTGAAATGAGTAGAAATCTATCTGATTTATCTTGGTTTAAAAAAAGAAAAAATGTGTTTTGCTGAGATTTCAATTTTGAAAATTTAACGTAAAAGAATAAAAAATTGGATCCCGTGACTAGGCAGGGTTTAAGTGTCATAATATCAGGCTTAAGTCCAAAAACAGGATTAATTGCCTGAAACATGCAACGGTTTGAAAAACAAAATCCGCCAAATTGAATGAATAAAAAATGGCGACCTCAGGATGTAAAATAAGAGTCATAATTTCCCGATTTGTTTTGCACGCCTAGTGTTTATTTTACAATGCTGGGCGGGAGGGGGGCAGGGGGGCATTAATTTTGGCGCGAACAAGTTGGAACAAATTAAATTCGTCCCGGATTATTACAAATACTTCACGCAATTTAGAGACCTTTCAACATGATAAATCACAAGTAAACATTAACGCCTCAGCCTGAAAAAAAAAACATTTTAAATAAGGGGTGTAAATGTTCTAACATCATATCTATGAGATAAAAAGTAACATGTGAAGTTTAAATTCAGCATGATATGCTTAAAAGGATAGAATGTATATGAGTTTTAAGACTAGAATTTATCGTATAAACATTTTAATCAAATTGAATTATTGCAAGGATGAAATCTTGATGTTAGAGTTCAAACATTTATCTGTAATTGGTATAGAAGGCTTTATTGAAAACAAGAAAAGGTTAAAATTGTTCAATTTTGAAAGTTTAATATAAAATTCTTGAATTCGATTATTTTTGATAAAATCTTGAGAAAAAATCGATTACGGGCCAGAGTGGAGTAATTTTAAGCAGAGCGGCGTTTTTGAGGCATTTTCTCGCCTATTTGCATGATTTTAAGGAAGATAAGAATCTTTTAGTCCGACGTGCTCTAAAATTACCAAGTATATGATTATGTTAAGTCTCCTGTAGTAATGCTACAATTTGACTCTATTTATCAGGCTTTTTAGACCCTTTTTTGGAACACTGCAGGGAAGTTTTGAAAAAAAAAATCTATTTTTTACATTTACAAACATTTATTTTTCACACCTAATCCCTATTTTGTGGATTTTTAGATATAATTTTATAAGAAGAATATTTTCCCTTTGTCTGTAAGTTCCATTATTAGCCCTGTACTCAAGACTAAACACTAGAGTTGTACCAGCAAACTGTATAATTTACGCCGGAGCAAAAATAAGGCCCGAAAACAAGGATAAAAAGCTGGATTTATAAAACGAAATCAACACGCAATCAACCGCTGCTTTATTCTTTACACATCAAATTTTATTTTTGTTTGAAAGTATTTTTTCCCGAAAAACTCTCTTTTAATTTTATGTACAGAATTCTTCTTAATCTTTATTTATGTACCTAACTCTCTCTAATCTATGTTTATGTATAGAACTCTCTTTATTCCAAGGTTTATGTACAGAACTTTATATAACCTATGCTTATGTACAGAACTCTCTCTAATCCTATATTATGCACATAACTCTCTATAATATATTTGTATGTACAGAACTCTCTCTATAATCTATTTTATGTTCAGAACTCTTTATAATCTATTTTTATCTACAGAACTCTCTCTATAATCGATGTTTGTGTACAGAACTCTCTCTATAATCTATGTTTATGTAAAGAACTCTCTCTATAATCTATGTTCATGTACAGAACTCTATCTAATCCTATATTTATGTACAGAACTATCTCTAATCTTTGTTTATTTACAGAACTCTCTCTATAATCTATGTTCATGTACAGAACTCTATCTAATCCTATATTTATGTACAGAAGTCTCTCTTTAATCTATGTTTATGTACAGAACTCTCTCTAACCCTATATTATGTGCAGGTCCACAGTTCCCTGAATTTCTTCTACCTTTCCGTAAACCTAAGAGAATAAGAACTGCATTCTCTCCCTCACAGCTTCTAAAATTAGAACAAGCTTTTGAGAAGAATCAATATGTCGTCGGTCAAGAGAGAAAAGAACTGGCCAAGTCATTAAACTTGTCAGAAACACAGGTAATAAAAAAAAAATCCAAGGGCTCAATCTTATACTTAATCCTAAGAATCGGCATTTTTTTATGAAACTTAAAAAAACAATTTTTTATTCGCGTTTTTAATAATAACTGGTGCTTTAAAAGTTATTTCCAGCGCGCATTCTCTTCATGATATTGATCTTAGACGCGCAGTGAGCACTAACCATGCATGTGCAATAAAACACGATTAGGTCTTAAATACGCTCTATTTTTCCATATTAATTAAGTTTTGAAAGTGTAGTTACTTAAAACTATTATGTCTTAAATGCTCACTAACTTTCTACAATGATTATGTCTTAAACGCGCAGTTACTGATAGTTATAGGCCTAAACGCGCACATTGAATTGGTTCTGACCTATCCCTTATCACGCACACGCACATAAGATAAACGCGCGGAGAGATAATTAGTTAAATTATTAAGATGTAAATTCCACCCCCCCTCGGCCCTGCTAACCACGTAGCTTGTTCAAAGTTAAACTCGGGGTTAAATACCTTAAACCTGAAAGGTTAATATTTCATTTCCCTTTCTCATATATCCCTTTGGTCATTTATTTTTTTATTAATAAATATAAATTGTTTTTAAATGATAAAGAAAAGATGAGAATTAGGATAAATGTTTCAAATTTTTTTCCTTATGAAGATAATTTAACAATTTAAAATTTAGCAGATTTTCAAGTTTCCATTGGTGGATTTTCATAAGATGATACTAAATATTGTTGTTTAGGTGAAAGTCTGGTTCCAGAATCGACGAACTAAGAACAAGCGTGAGCAGCAGGACGGTGACGGGAACAGGATTCCAGGGGAGGAGGGGGAGGAGCTGGATATCATCGAGTATGACGAGGAAGACGACTATGTGGATCATCATCAAGCCGAGCATCATCAGTAGAACGAGGATACACACAACACACCATTTATAAAAACCAGTTTCTAAAAAAGTTCTAAAAATCCTCGAACTCGCTATTGTTAGTGTACACTGTTCGCCAGGTTGAATCTAGAAAATCCGTGAGAAACCTAAATCCCCGGGTAAACTAGAGCGAGAGAACGCAGGATAAAATCATAAATTTCAACTGTTTGATTTGAGGGGAAAAGTTGGTTGAGAGATTACCCTGATTGAAAACAGTTTGAAGATTGGAAGATTAGGGTCGTGTTCAAGATTTCTCCGTAAAACTAGATCAAAACAATCCTAAAATGATGACTCTGGTTTGAAAATGATCTCCTACGGACGGAAAATTTGAAAATTACAAGAATTGGAATGATATCACGAACTATGCAAAGATTGAAATTGCAATAATATTTCTATTTGCAAAATTTGCAAAAAGTGTTGATTTGTGTTAACCGTCCAACCCCAACCAGGGAGGGGCATCATCATCAATAATCATCATTTTTCATATTTTTAATTGTGTGATTTTGTGATATATTTAAAATATTTATCGCGTGTGCCAAAGAAGTTTTTGTCGCTTCAATTTTTTTATTTAGAAATAATTTTTCTTATAGCTTTATACCGTGATCTTCACAAGTGCCATGCAAGAATAGCATATATGTGTTTTAGCATCTTTAAAAATTTTCCCAGTCACCGCATTTTCTTACGTCTGTTGCAAGTTTCGGTCGCCGACGATTGTTTGTGTTTCAAGCGATAATTCACACAGTGTGAAGTCTATATATTTCAATATTTTAACTGCTTTATGATTATTATCATTAGATACAATCATTATTATGATTATTGTTCTCTGCTTATATATGGTTATACTAATAAATAAAATTGTTTTTAATTATGTATCTAAATAATATTACTTAATAACTATTAAAAATGAGAAAAACTTACACTGAACTTATTTCAATGTCCCATGTAGACCTTTGCATAAATATACAATAAAGGCTACCATAAAGAAAAAATTGCTGTAAAAGATACATACACAGTTAATGTTCAGAGGTGCTAAGTAAATAAGAGGTTGCGTGAGTTTAGAAATTCACAAAAAATGCGACTTAAGAGACGACAATTGTACATTGTACAGGTGTCCGACCATGCAAAGATGGCAATGCTCGATTTACAATTGTATCCTTAATAGATTTGTCTGATCAAATAGGAATTAGATGTTTTTATTACTTTAAACTTTAAACTGAATAATTTTCATTTACGATTTCGCTGAAAAACTGACCTGCGTATCTCTTGCTTAAAAGAAGCAATGGAGAAATAAACAGAAAACGAAGGTACCTTCCACATCTTTTATCAGATTAAGGTTTCAAGGGTACCGCTGTAAATTGACCATTGCCATCTTTGCATGAAGGGTTACTTGAAATTAAGCTTTCAGTTCCTTTAAGATTTCATGTCGCACAATGTTCCACAGTGTAAAACTCTTCACTTATATCACATGTTTATTGAGACACCCTGTATGTCTATATAGCGCATTATAATAAAGATGATTGATTGATGGAGATCTATTTCAAATAGTTTGGATTGCAAGTACGGTCCATCAAATAAACCAATTTAGTCCAGGGTAATTTCGTCTTGAACTAACCTTGCAAATCCGCCGATAGATGGAGGAGTTGGCCGAAGGATGAAGAGGGGAAAGGGGGTGAAAGGTGAGGGGGAAAGGGGGGTGAAATGTGAGGAGGAAGGGGGCTGGGGAAAGGAGGAGGGGGAAGGGTTAGGGGA